GTTTTTTTTTTTTCATATGACAACAAAAGCAGCACATCTTCCTTTTGACAAGCTGGAAACAATCTAATATTTAGCACATATAGGTTCGTGAGATCTTGTAATTCAAAGTGAAACTCCGCCCAACTTCAGCCCGAACAAAGATCTTATTGGCCACAACAATTAAAAACACTTTGTCTTAATGTCCGAGCCCTTAGATAATAAAGTAATCATCACAACATTAACTCTACTAATAATCCATATGTCATCATCAAAAACTGTACAGACATATTCCATAAAAACTATCTGTCTATGCACTTGTAAAATAGGAACAAGTAATAGTAGTAGTAGTAAGATTACACTCACAAACCGGTGAGAATGTTGTTCTTTACTATTTGAAATTAGTATTTGGTCAGTCTTCCATCTGTACTTCTACACACACACACACACACACACAGATACAGAAAGAGCAGTGAGGGGGAAGGAAGCGCAGAGACAAGACAATGGACGATAGGAAAGTGTCTTGTCCTCTTTGTCTCTCTGGAGGTTTCAATGGAGTGAAAATGTGAGATGGATGAAAAACAGGAAGGACAAGTCACTCCGACGGTAACTGGATCTGCTGACACGCCAGTCACATGGTCTCTCTTTTTGTAACACGGTTTAAGGCTGGACACAACATTCAAAGTATTATCAGATGACCCTTTACTTCCTTAAAGTTATCATGTGTCATCCTTACCATCTTCTTAAATCAGTAGTTTGATTCCACTCTCATAACTGTTTAACTGAGTTAAGTTTGGTGCTAAGAGACGATTAGCTTAGCTTAGCAAGACTGGGAGTAAGGGGAAACAGATAGTCTGGCTCTGTCCCAAGTAAGAAGATCCTGCTCACACCTCCTAAAGCTCATTAATTAACACGTATTTTGTTCAACAGAGCTGGAAAAAAGCAGAAGTTGCAGCCGATACAGTCAGACCGGACTGGCAAAATAGTTCCAGCACATAAATACTTGTAGAACATATTTCTTTTATTATTATTATCCATTGCTTTACAATGAAAATCACCTCCACAGCTAGTAACTGTTGGCCGAATTGTCTCACAGTGGGGATTTTAAAGAAATACTAATAATTTCCAGACCCAGTACTGAGAACAGTATTGATGGACAACAGGAGCCCTGCACCTCTAGCTGATGATTCAGCATTGCGTCTAATGGAAAGCTTTTAGCTGCCTTTGCATCCTCCCACCACTTACAGAAGGATGTAAACCCACAGATTCACACAATAACAAACCAGCAGCTTCCTGGCTTTCATCTTGACTCTACTTTGTAGCCACATCATTTCCAAACTTTTTTTTTCTCCTGACTTGGACAATTTCTATCCTTATTATTATTTCAGTGTTTTTCCTTCTACCTTTACTCCATGCCCTTCTCTCTGTAGGTCGGCCTAGATACACCGACGTATTAATGTTTTCATATCTGCTGTCTGTCTTACTGATTGTCTTGTTCGTTTTTCTGCTCTTCACCTAACCTCCATTTCTATTTAGTTTTTTCCTTTTCTGTCTCACCCCTAAGTGGTCAGATAGCTCACACAGATAAGGTCTTCTGTTTATAACTAGTATGTTAGGACTAAAAGCTTTGCTGCGGGCCCCGGCGCTGCATGCTTAATGATTTATTGAGCTCGCTGGCACATACACAAACTGAGGTGTTCGGGTGCTGTTTGATTCGTTAAAGGGGTTTGGGTAATGACAGCGGTGAAATGATGGTTTGTGTGTCTCTGTGTGTCTTCCCTCCTGCTATGAGGCTAATCACTAGAGATGAGCAATACTCCTGAGGTTTCATCAGCGCCGATAATCGCTGCCTCTCACCATCTGCCGAGCGAAATAATTTATTCAACCTCCAAACACAACTCTTAACTTCTGCTGTTTATTCAGTGCTATTTCAGCTAGACTGCTGCTAACACCTGTTGTCATTCATACTAATAAAAGGAATGGTGCGCTGACTAACAAGCTTTTAACATGATGAGCTTCATCTGTTTTTGCTCATTGGAAAAAGTTCAACTTGATGGTTTTTTGTTCAGCTTCCTTCCCAGGATTTCTCCGTTTGTTTTACAGAACTATAATATGTCTAAATGTGTAAAAGAAAGACGTAAGGTCTGTGTTATAGTCTATCTCTAATCTTTCTATCTGTTTCTCTTGCAGGCAGCATAAAGGGAGCGACGATAGTGGATGCTCTGGACACCCTCTACATCATGGAAATGTTTGAAGATTTTGATGCTGCTACTGACTGGGTAGAGAAGAACCTCGACTTCAGTGTGGTAAGGAAGTGTGTGTGTGTGTGTGTGTGTGTGTGTGAGAGTGGCCATGTGATGATCAACTACATTGATTTTGCAAAAATCCTCTATCCTCTGCCACAAGCCTTAATGTCATCAATAGAGGCTTGAATCATTGATGTCCGTGGTGGAGAGGAGCCTTGAAAGACTCAGCACTTTCATTAGCATGTATTTTGGTTAATGTGAATTTAATGTGAAACACCTTTAAGGCTGTTCAGGTGTTAATGTGCTTAAAAATGAAAGATTTGTGAACAAGAGATAAGAACACAGTGTCTGACATCAAATTAACTGGAGGTGAAATAAAACAAATAATTTAGCAGCTAACAGTTTAGAGACAAAGACAGACCAAAGTGAGTGGTAGAGTGCAACTTTCACTCAATTATATCTAGTTTTTTTTACCTGTGTTTGATTTTCCCTTCAAATAGAAGGTGGAGAGATCACTAGTCAACATTATGCTTTCCCACTAGCACTTGAATGAACATATAATACCAAGAAATAAAACTAACTAGATTTGATGGAAATCCAAATCTGTAAGACTTTGAGATATATTACTTATATGTAGTTTGAGGAGGAGAACACGGTGAAGTAAAGATATATCTGTCCTATGTATTAAGACACATTTTGTTGTCTTGCTGTGTATGTAACTAAGCTACGTCAACGTAGATGTGATCTGTGTTGCATCCTGCCGTCACCCAGAACCACAGAAGCACCGTTTTCTACTCATTAAAACACCAAGAAACTCATGAACCTTTGAAAGCTTCAAGAACGAATGCTGCACCCAGCACACTCCCAAGACTCGTAAAATGTTTTATTATTTAAAGCTTATAAAATTGAGAAAAATACGTAACTAAATTAGCCACTTGATGCCACTTTTCCAACAAAGCCTGAAAGTCATGTTAGCTGTTTTATTTGGACTTTTATTGGATGTGATTCAGTTCAACACTTTGTCTTTGCGCGAATGATCTAATGTATGAAATAGTATTAAAATAAACTTTATACATAGACGTGACAAGATGAGCAGGGAGATGTCTGACTGAATTTCACCACATGTAGGTCAGTGTAAGGGAACTTTAATAGAGAAGACTTATGATGGCTTCCTTCACTAGGATTTTATATATATATATATATATATATATATTTATATTTATATATATATATATATATAAATATATATATATATATATATATAATTTATAATATATATTTATATATA